CCAGGGGAGGGGGTAGGGGGAGGGGCAAACCTCTCCCCGAAGGGGAAGAGGGGCAGATGGAAGACAAAACACCCTAGACCACCTACGCAGTAAGGGCTGGTGGGGCTCTTCATCAATATGTTCGTGCCCCTCAGGCAGCTCCACAGACGATTCCAGTGGGCGCCGACGTATGGCACCGCCGCCCCTCTTTCGGCTAACCCCTCACACGTTCGTTAAGTAACGTGCCCAGGAGGCCTCTGACACTGGAGGGTTCCTTATCTGATGAGGGCGTCGGTGACATCCATTGCCTATCCACGATTGGCTTTCCACTGGCTTCCAGACCCCGGGTTCCTTATCGAAGGTTTCCTTATCCGGTGTCATCACCGTACGGTTCGTGCCCCCTGGCGAGCTCCACGTGCGGCCCCAGTTGGCGCCGACGCGTGGCGCCACCACCACCACCCCCGGCACAGAGGGAGCTCCGCCTGCGGCCTCCGTGGGCGCCGACGCATGGCGGCACCGCCCCACTTTTCGGCACGCTCATCACGAGGATCGCGACCGCATATGGAGCTCCACCTGCAGCCCCACTGGCAGGGTCCGCGTGCCGGCGCCGTCTATTTCGGTGCACCTTCTCAGCGGCCGTGGCCCCGTAGGGAGTTCCACCTGCGGCCCCAGTGGCAGGGACCGCATGACGGCACCACCAATTTCAGCGCACCCTTCGCCAGGATCGTGGCCCGATGTGGAGCTGCACCCACGGCCCCAGTGGCAGGGTCCGCATGGCGGCGCCATCAATTTCACCGCACCAGTCACGAGCACCGTGGCCGCATAAGAAGCTCCACGTACGGCATCAGTGGGAGGTCCACATGGCGGCGCCGTCAATTTCGACGCACCCCTCACACACTGCGTGACCCCTAGGGATCTCTACCTACGGCCCCAGTGGGAGGGTAGGCATGGCGGCGACGCCCATGGCGGGCACCACTCACGAGGATCGCGGCCCCCCGTAGGGAAGCCCGCTCGCCTACGGCCGCAGCGTGAAAGTTTGTATTCGTACTTCCGCCCCTTTCGGCACACCCCTCGCACGAGCTCCACATAGGGCCCCGGTGGAAAAGGTTGCATGCGAATCCCACGCACTTCGGCGCACCACTCACACGTCTCGTGCCACGTGTGTGGCTTTGCGGCCCAAGTGGGAAAATGCGCATGCGCCCCCACCCCTCCCCACATACTTCGGCACATCCCTCACACGGGTCGTGCATAGAGAAGATCATCACGATTGTTACATGAAGCTCGTAAGGGTGGGAGCCTTCGCCAGCTTATTTGTTCTGTGGCATTATCGGCCAAGTATCGCACATCATTTGAGCATGGCGCTGAATAGCTTTGGGCTGGCCGGGTGGAAAGCACCCAAAAAGAAGGGAAGTTGAAAGTTCAGGCTGAAACAACAAATCATGAATAGATGTGTTGTATGAGAACGCGCCGGATTTGCCCAGTTGGGAGTTACACGCCGCCCCCATGCACACAGCAAGCACGAACAAGACGGACATGGCAACGCTAGCGACCAAAAGACGCCTCCAGGGAAATGCGTGCAGTGTCGCTGCCCCGCTTGGGGCTGCAGGGATATGCAAGACAGATGCAGCCCTCAGCTGGTTGCAACGATCGACAGGTTCGTGGTCCCGTGTTGCCTGACAGTAGGATTGGACGTGTTCAAAGAATGGCAAGCAGCATGCGTATTCGATTGCGCCAAAAAGGAGAATCATGTCCAGTTGCAGCAACAGACGGGAGGGTGGTATGAACAATGCGAAAGGGTCATGTTCAGCGACAAAGACGTCCGAGAACATACGCACCAAGTGAGTTCTGGTTTACCAATATCAATATCGCTTCGGAAAATTGGTGCGACTACCTCTGTCAGCCACGAAGCATGAAATTAGAGGGAGACGGCGGAAAACATGTTGTGCCGGTTGTCGGATCTTCAAATACACCGATGTTCTACATTTTGGTGTGATGGGGCGAACCCCATTAGAAACCAGTGGAAGGCACCAAGATCATGGGCCACCGACGGGATTTAAAGAATAAGAGTATGAGCCAGTGATCGCTTAGAGGGGGGCAGCACACTTGGAACAGCCAAGTGGGATCGAAATCAGCGAATTTCATCCATCCGAGTGCAGAGACGATTGGAACAAAGCCACGGAGCACAAAGCAACCGTTGAATCTTCATACTGTGGCAGTGGTTACATTTCGCTTGGATCTGAATCAGGCGATTGGCATGAAGCTAAAGAGACACCCAGCATTCGACGATCATGCCAGCGGTATATTGGCACATGCTTTGTGGATATGTGCAGCATTGATGCTGCATCCTAGGATTATCCTGGTCCTCGTCATCAGCATCATCAGCAGCATCCTACTAATAATCAGCATCGTCATCATCATCATCAGCATCATCATCATCATCATCACCATCCATTGTCATCATCACTCATCATCATCCTCATCATCATCTTCTTCATCATCATCGTCGTCATCATCATCAACACCATCATTATCAGCACGTCCCCTGACACGTCCCCTGGCGCATCCACGAGTGCGCCCCTGGCACATCCCGTGGCGCGTCCAAGCACCTTGCGCCCCGTGTCGTTTCGTCCCGCTTCCGAACTGAGTCGGATCTTGAGTTCGAATTGTTTGAGCGTCCCACACGTTTCAATTGCAACCTTGGGCCAGCTATGCGTTCAGGCAGCTGGAGCTTGAGATCCAGATCAGTTCAGTCAGGACTCGGATGCCAAGGACGACTTGACCCACAACGCTATAGAGCACAACGCCATTCATCGCGGCGCGGCACATCTAATTTCAGCACGGCACAGCACAGCACAACCCTTGGCATGGTACAACACGATCGATACTTTCAGCACTGCAATTGGCCGTCGCACAATCAGGTGTCTTGAAACGTTGCCATGTCTCGCATGTTTAAGTTCCTTTCCAGGTTCGTGGGTCGATCATGTTACAATTGTATTGCGCCGCCGTGCAGGCCTCTGGCGTGATGCTTGCCACTGGCACGAGCCCTTGTCAAAGCGCCCGCAGCCACTCAGGCCTACGGACTGGCGGCCATGCACTGCCTCTTGAATGTCGGCGAAGGCGCCACCGTGCGCAGCAGCAGCCGCGGCAGCAGCAGCGGCGCGAGCTACAGCGAGGACAGCAACGCGGGGTCGAGCTCGCCGTCCTCCGGCAGGTCGCGGGAGCCGCTGGCGGCTCCCCCGCAGCCCGTCTCTCGCGAGTGGGCAGGCGCCGCGGGCCTCGACTCCGACTCCAGCGAGGGGCCGGACTGCAGGGGGGCGCGCGGGCCGCCGCGGGGCGGCGGCTTGGGCGTCCAGGTTCTGACGCACGAGTGGGCGGGCGCCGCGGGCGTCGACTCCGACTCCAGCGAGGGGCCTGGCCAGAGGGGGGCGCGCGGGCAGCTCTCGGACGCGGGCGGTCATGGCGTCCACGTCCTGACGCACGAGTGGGATGGCGATTTGGACTCGGACTCCTCGGACTCGGCCATGAGTCCGCCTGGTCCCGCGCGGCGCCAGCGCCAGCAGAGGCTTCAGCGCTCTGGGGGCCCTGTGGAGCTGGCTACGGATGTTGTGCGCGCTGCCGAAAACCAGGTACAGCGCGAGGAGGCATCCAGAAACATGGTGTTTCGCTTGCTTACGGGCGTCAAGCTGTTCCTATCTGGCAATCTGAAGCTAGTGACAGCTTGCCAGTACTTTGAGATACTTCATGTCGCAGAGAAGACTTTCGCCTTTTGCCCTTGGCTCGAGCGTTGTTGGTACGCGATGTTCCCAGCAGTGTTTGTGCTCAACTCGTTCTTTATTATATTTCAGGTCGCGTGCGTGCGAAGAGATAGGGAGCTCAGCCAAGCGCGACGACAACTCTTTGACAGCGGCTCGTATTTCACTTGGTTGCTCACATGCCTCACCAGCTTCGTCTTCTTGGGATTATTATCTGGTTGGCAACTGTTGCATGTCTATCGGCAGGTGAAGGAGCCAGGGTACCGTGACAGTTTCTTAGTGGAGTTGAGTGATCCAAGCATGGTGGACGACGCCGTGCACGTGATGCCCTTGTTCAGTAGCCACTTGGTCATTCTTGGCGAGTTACTATGTGAAGGGCTGAGCGAACTGCCGCCATTGGGCCAGCCTGGGGGCATCATTGGGCCACCCTGGGGCCTCTTGGGGCATCAGGGGCCTCTCGGGCCTCTATTGATTTGGGCTATCTTGGAGCCCTTGGAGTCCACCTGAGGGGCCTCTTGAGGGCTTCTTGGGATCAGATTGGGGCCTTGTTGGGCCATCCTGGGGGATCTTGGCGGCATCTTGTGGATTTGGGGGATCACCTTGGCGCCGTCTTGTGTAATATCGTGGGCTCGTGTGGGCGTCTTGGAGCGGTCTTGGGGCACCCTACGTGGGAGCCAAACATGGGACAGGCAACAAAACGATGAACACACACTTTTGCGTCGGCGGCTGGGCAGAGTTACTGCTCCGGCGATGTAGCATTAGTGGGGCGCACAAAATGCAAATTGGGCCGCGGTGTACACGAGTAGGAGAGAGGAAGCCCGGCGCGGGCGGGGGAGAGAGGAAGCCAGGCCCACTCAGAGCAAGCCCAGGCGGCGGCGGGGCGGGCGCCGGTTATGTTTTTGGTGTTGTTCTCTGGAGGGCGTCTAGGTTATTGCTGGGTCATCTTAGGGACATCTTGGGGCCGTCTTGAGCTCGGAAGACTCTCGTCGGAGCCTTTTGAGGCCGTCTTCGAAGCCGCTTTGACACTCGTTGCCTTGAGGTGGCGTCCCTGTGTGAGCCCTGGAGGTTGAGGCACGCACGCGTTGATGGCTTCTTGGGGCGGCGCGGACCGCCTGGTAGAGGCAGTAGAACGGAGACAGGACTCTGTAGGGAGAAGAGGCAAAAAAACAATCAACACGACAAGGAAAACGGGGCGGCAGTCCAGCGGCAGAACTTAATTGCCCTGCGCCCACAAAGGCGGCTGGCGGATTTGTAGTTCTGGAGTTTCGCATGTCCGTGCAGGCTATTGTTTGCGACAGGCTGTATTCGTTTACATTGTTTGTTAGCGCCACGCTGATCATCATCGCCACGCTCGCCTTCGACTGCCGCGTGTCGAGCCGGTTCTGGAAGTTGCGGTATTTGAAGTGGGAGCACGTCCTCTTCCGCACGCTCGAGTTGTATGCGAAATGCCTGGTTTGCCATGGTTTCTTTTGGATGGGCCGCAGGCACCCGTTGATCGTGTGGCCTTTCCTAGTCTCCGAGTGGATCCTCTGCAGCGCAGCGATCTGCCGGGTGTCGGGAGCGGCATCGTGGCGCGAGGCGGTGATGGGATACGCCTTTGTCGGACCCAATCTTGCTCTCTTCGTGGACAATCCAAGGTTTGCCAAGAGCGCCAGCCTTCTCACCCGTTACCACGACGAGATACGGGTGTTGGAGGTATTCGTGTTCTGTTGCTGGCTTACGATCAGCTGGTCGCTGGACCCCGAGAGGAGGTCCAATCTCACGCCCAATGGTTTTTATCCTATCCCAGAATTCTTTCGACCGTCCACCTACGTAGCCTTCTGGGTCGGCGTGTTCCTGATCGCGCAGGCTGGTTGCATCTTGCTTCGCTGTCGCTTGCTATCGGGCACTCCCTCTTCGCAGGTCAAAGGTAGCCAGGACAGGACGCCTTCGCCACAAAACTCTTCGCCGAATTTGACGGCTCCCTCCCCGATCATGGGCAAGCCTGCCGATTTCGATTTCCAGCGTTGGGAGAGCACTGGGCTTGGTGCCTACCTGTTCACGAAGGGGGTCGGGGACCAGTTCGAGTCCCTTTTGGAGATCATCTGCGAGAGCTCCGAGGACAGGCTGAAACTGTCCAGGCTGAGAATTGTCCGGCAGCTGGGCGAGGGCGGTTTCGGGCGCGTGTTCGAAGTGCAGGATTGCCGACACCGCCGCGGCGCCAGCCAACGCAGCGGTGTTTATGCGTTGAAGTTGCAGCGAAAGAGCGCCGCCGCCAGCGTCGCCGTGCGAGAGGCGGAGATGATCCATGAGTTAGACCACATGTACATCGTTGGATTGGTCCGCGTCTTCCATACCAACGCCTTCTACTGTATCCTGATGGAGCTGTGCGAGATGGACCTCAACAGCCGCATCCTGGCCAGTGTGGACGGCATGGGCATCGCCGCCGGGTTGCCCACCACGCAGGTGAAGCACTATTCCGCGTGCATCGCCCTTGCCCTAGAGCACCTCCACCACAGGGACTTTGTGTTTCGCGACCTGAAGCCAGAGAACGTGCTGACCACGGCGGCAGAGAACTGCTGCGACGGGCACAGCAGGAGCCACGCCAAGCTGGCGGACTTCGGGCTGGCCAGGTCCCTCGACCCCCGCCACCTGGCTCTCTCCCGCAAGGAATTCTTCAGCATGTGGTCGGGCACCCACGCCTTCATGCCCGACGACGACTACCCCGAGGGCCTCCAAGCGAGCGACCCCAGGATCCGCTCGGCCCTGTTCACCCGCGACTGGTACGCCTTCGGATGCTGCCTGGTGCTCATGCTGCTCGGCGAGCGCGCGGCGCGCACCGTGAGCCACGGTACGCGCCACGTGCTGCTCCCGCTGGCCCCGGAGACGGCGCGCGCCCAGCTGCCAGAGCGTGCCGGCGCCTGCGACGCCGACGCGCACGAGCTGGTGCTCGGGCTCGTCGCCGAGGCGGGCCAGCGCGCGGGAGAGGCCGCCGTGCGCGCATGCCCGTTCCTGACTCAGGCGCTGGCCGAGGCGGAGGAGCTCCGAGGAGGCAAGGTTACCGATACCGCGACACGCCAGTCGTTCAAAGTAGGTGTTTTGGGAGGTCCAGAGCCCAGTCTACTTCAAGCGCCTTCCTAATTCAGGAATCAGATGTGTTTGCTGTTCGTTGTTACTCTGTGGGCGGGCCCGAACCCAGTCTGCTTAGTCCGCCTTCCTGCTTCATATTTCTACCCACCTGTTCCGACTGGCGGGTACCCTTCCCTCGTTCTCCCCTCTGTGGGCCTCCTTGGAGGCCCTCGTCGCCACCGCTGGATTCGCCTCGAAGTTCTGGTCAGAACGCACCCTGCAAGAGGTCTGGGGATGTAGCGGTATCAATACCTTCTGGCCCCGCCAGGAGTTAGCAAAGAAGAGGCCCTCCCGCTCACAGCCCCGCTGCAGCAGCTTCCGGGCCTGCATCTGAGTTCTTGGGCCTGCTGGGCCCCCCTGGTGCCTTGGGCGATCGGCCAGCAGCCAAGGGGCCCACGGCTGGCGGGCCGTGGGCCCCCCGGGGAGGAGGAGGAGGAGGAGGAGGAGGAGGAGGAGGAGGAGGAGCGGAGGAGGGAGGAGGAGGAGGAGGGAGAGGAGGAGGAGGGGGGGGGAGGAGGAAGGGGGAGGAGGAGGAGGAGGAGGAGGAGGAGGAAGGAGGAGAGGACGGAGGAGGAGGAGAGGAGGAGGTGGAACCGCGCAATCTTTTTTTAAGTCACTGCACGCTCATTCTGTTCGCTTCACACGGGCTCCTGTAATCGGAGCAGGCGGGCGTGGCGGCATGGGGTCACGAACGCGTTGGGTCACGGGGTCAAAACGGGGTCCCCCAGCCCCGATTGAGGGATATTCTCTTTTTTTTCTTTTTTTTCTTTATTTGTTCTTTTTTTCTTTTTTTACTTTTTCTTTTTTTTTTTTCTTTTTTTCTTTTCTCATTTTTCTTTTTTTGTTTTTTTTTTTTTTTTTTTTTTTCTTTTGTTTTATTTTGTTTTTGTTTTTTTTATTTTTTTTCTTTCTTTTTTTTTTTCTTATTTTTTTTTTTTTTTTTTTTTTTCTTGTCTTTTTTTTACTATTTCAGTTTATTTTTTTCTTTTTTCTTGTCTTTATTTTATTTTTTTTTTTTTCACTATCTTTTTTTTTCCCGAGGGATCCCCCCGAGAGCTCCCCCCGAGGGGGGCTCCCCCCCCGAGGGCTCGCGAAAGGGGTCACACGGCATGCCCGCCAACACGGGTGTGTGACTGCCGCAAGCTGGCAACGCTACAAAGTGGGCGCGGCCGCATGTTATCCGTGCGCGAGACTTGCGCGATGCCGCGGCCTCAATTTCCTGGTCCTAGTTGGGCCCGAACGCTTGTCCGAAGTGGTGGCTCGTACGGCTGCCTTGCGGTATCTGGTGCTGCGCCTGCTGAGGCGGCACCATCCTTCTTTCCCCCCCTTTCTCTCCCTCGCTTCCCCCCCCATCAGGGGCAGTCGCACTCGGCGGAATACAGGTGACCAGCTCCTGCAGTTTTGGTTTTGTCTTGGGGGACGCGTACGGGAAGTGACCAATCAGGGCGGCTGCAAACCGGCGTGGCCTATTCAAGCAGCCGGGCTCGTTTCCTTGATGTGGTTTCCTGCAGCAGCGGACCTTGCGCGCCCATGTACAGTAAACACAATGGGCCATTTGAAATGCGAGTTGAAATGCGGAAAATGTCAACAAAGGAGCAGGGCATGTTGAAGAAAGTGGAGAAAAATGAGCGTGTTGCACTGTACGGTGTCATTTCGTATTAGCGCGCATTTGCTAGTGAGGTCATCTGGACCACTTTGAGACAGCACGCAATGTGCAAGGAGGAGGACGAGGAGACAAAGGGAGGGAAGGAGGGCTGGCCTAGGACAAAGTTAGCGGGAGGAGGGAAGATGAAAAGGGACGATGATTCCTCCCCCGCGGCGGCGACCACAATTGAGCCGTTAGGAGGGGACGAAGACTGGGATGAAGGCCATGGGTGATGGCCAGGTGGGAGAAGAATGGGGAAGGGACGACGAGCGAGGACGGAGGAGGGAGGCAGCAGGAAGCAGGAAGCAGGGCGCAAGAGAGAGGAAGGAGGAGAGAAGGACGAGGGAGGGAAAGAGGAGAGAAGTGGGGCGAGGTGGCTACTTTTTACGTTCGAAGATTCAAATCGCCCCTAGACGGCGATGGTACTTCTCCTCTCTTCTTCCGGCAGCATTGGTCTCCGCGGCCTTCTCATCCTTGCCATTTGCTGTAATGGCGCTTAGGTTTGCTGCACGAGCTGTGAGGGTAGTGCGGCATGCACCCGCCAATAGCAGGGGGCACCATTCCCGCTCGCACTGCTGACATTGCCTGCTGCATGTTGTTCCAACTCGAAAAAAAGAGGAGAGAAGTGGGAGGACGAGAGAGGAGGGGTGACTTTGGAGGGGAGGCAGGGCGAGGATCGGATCGGCCATCCGCGGGAGTGGCCGCCAAGGGGCAAGCAGCCGGGGTGGCGCAGCATTACTGAGCACCACAGTCCCGAGGGGGAGGAGGGCGGCAGGAGGGAAGCCGCGGACGTGGGAGAGGGCACGCCGGAGGAGGAAGAGGGTAGAGGGATGGGCAGAAGCCCGCGAGGAAGGGGCTTGGGGTCGAGGGAGGAAAGGGGACGCTGGGTGGGGGAAGAGGTGAGGAAGGAAAGAAGGGAGGGGCACGGTCGACCAGGAAGGGATGCCGGTGATGCTGGCATCCCCTCCTGGTCGACCCAACGGGAGGGAGGGAAAGAGGGAGGAGAGGCGTACATGAGACAGGACGTCCAGTCAGAAGCCTCCAAGACGATGCTTCCAAGAGGTCTCGTCAAAAGCTCCTGGGACCTTCTGTGAAGGCCTGTGCCTTCGCGTCCTTCTCAGAAGGCCTCCCCCATCGCGCCGCCCCGTCCCGTGCGCCGCCAAACGTGGGCGACGGGCTGCAAGTTCTCTCCAGGTCTTGGGATCGAATGTGTTCGGACAGTGCTTGATTGACAGATCTGCCGCACCTGATCTTAGTTCGTCGGGGCTGCTCGACGTGCCCTCCGCCGACACAGACAGAGCAGCTTGCTCTCCTGGAGTGACACCAGCGCTTCTCTCCACCTCTTCCTGTGGCAGTCGCGATGCGGTGGCTGCACCTGTTCGCCGCGGCGTCAGCGCCAGCCCAGGGTGTTCTCGTTTGTGTGTTTCTTGTCTCTCCCAGTCTCGCCCTCTTCGGCTTTGCTCTTCTGCGCGGTGGGACGACTAAGTTCGGACTGCCACGCTGACGGACCCCCCCCCCTCCCTCTGGCTTTTGGCCGGGGCGGTGGGGCAGGACAGGTGACGTGACGATCATGCGCTCGTACGGGCGTGCCGGAGCACGCCCTGCCCCTTCCAGGGCAGGATGCCCGCCAGAAGCTCCGCTGCCGGGCATCTGTTGCTCCCTGATCTAACGATCTCGGGACTCCAACGCCACGGATCAACCGTGGGGGGGGACCGATCTGTCGACGCTCAGCGCTGACTGGTATGGATCGCCGCCTTGGAGCAATTGCACTTCTGTTCGTGTGTGGCCCACGTGGTCCGTCCCCGCGGCTACAGCCCAACGCGGGCCACGCAGCGGGATGGGAGGCTCACAGGAGGAGAAGCAGCAGGCGCAGGATGAGGAGGCACCGCGTGAGCAGAAAGCAGAGGGAATTCTCTGCACAGGTGGCCAAGGCGATCGAGGAGCTGAACGGCAAGGAGTTCGGTGACCCACCGGTGGCCCTCGAGGTGGACGTGTGGGTGAAACAGGCATCGAAGCGGACGTTCGGGTTCTCCCCATGTCACCCCTCTTGCCTGGAAGATGATGGTTCCTTTTCAGCCTGTCTCCAACTCCAGCTCGGCATGGCCCGCCTCACCGCCCTCTCGCAACTACAGCTCAAGTCACCGAAGAGCCCCACCATGACTGCCTCATCGTACAGATCCAGCGCAGAATAATTTGGTGCGTCGGAAACGCTCTGGAGGTAATGACGATCCCGAGCTTGCATTGTCTGGCCACGGTCGAAAAGTGTCGCTTCGGTGTCAATACACCTGCGACGTCCAGGCAAATCAAAGCGTTTACATGCATGCTGGGGGGGTACTTCAGAGGCACGCGATAGATACGCCGTAAGAACCCGCGCTAGCTTAGCCCGGATGCTTCGCAGCCATTTAGCATTGTCAATAGATCAGTAATCACATGGACACACCAGTGTTGTAGGGGCGCGGCGGCATCATGTTTACCCGAGAGATACATGTTGCAAGCCACGGGCAAAGTATTGTCCACATAGTTTCGTGTTGGTTGATGCGTGGCCGATCTACTGAGACTTTGGGATCCCCGTCGTACTCAGAACACGTCTACCTCCGAACCGCATGGTACAAAACAAGAGCCACGTCGTATCTACTAGCGCGTCTTATTCTAGAGGCTTACGCCATTCCGCCGACCCCTAGAAGAAGAACGCAGTCGACAGGTGAGGTCTTTGAGGTCTTTGGGGGCCTCTTGTGGGCGTCCTGGGCGCGTCTCCGGGCTTCGTGGGATTTTCTTGGGCATCGCTGGCGGTGTGGGTGGGGTCCTCTTGGGGCGGAGGGCTCGGAAGATTAGTGCGAGTTAGCTTTCCTTGGGCCTCTCTCGAGGCCCTGCTGGGGCTCTCTGGGACCATCTTGCGCGCCTCTTCCGCTGTCTTGGGGCGCTCTTGGGGGCTGCTTGAGCCGTCCTGGAGCCATCTTGGGGACCTGTTGAGCCGTCATGGACGGTTGAGGGCGTGCGTGCGCGAGCTGAAATCGGGGGTGATTTGTTCTTGTCTGGGCCACCTACGGACTGACGAGGCGAAAGGGGAGAATGAGGGAACGAAGTTTTTCGGGAGCGTCAATGGGGTACGCTGCAACTTGTTGTTGCTGCCGCATATAAAGAGAGCATGCCCGGGCGAGCCCGAGCCCGAGCCCGTGCCCGAGCAGCCCGAACCCGATCCTGAGCGCGTGCGTTTGCGCGTGCGCGCGCATGGCGTGTCCGTGTGTGCGCACGCGTGTGCGTGCGAATGTTTGTCCGCCTGCGCGTGTTCGTGCGACCTGTGCAGGCGCCTCTGCGTGCGCCTCTGCGTGCGCGTGCGCGCGCGCGTGCGCGCGCAGGCTCGGGCGCGAGCCCATAAGCCCGAGCGCGAGCCCGACCCCGAGACCGAGCACAAGCCGAGTCTGAGCGTTCGCGTGCGCTTTCGCGTGGGCGTGCGCGTTCGCGTGTGCGCGTGCATGCGTGCGTGCGTGTGCGCTTCCGATCGGTTAACATGTGATCCAACAGCTCACGATATACAATACTCACCTGATTTGCTAGTCAGGCAGATATTTTGCCAGCGACGTGTCTGACGGGCTTCAGGTGGGTTCGTGGTTTGAGCGCAGGTCGCTTTAACTATCCTTTCAACCGACAGCCCACCCCACTGTCGGCATAGCATTCTGGAATTACTTTCTTTGCCAAAATTGTGTGCTGGAGCCCACGCCGTCGGCTGCTGGAACCACTGCCCCTCGTAGAACTGGGCGCAGGAACCCACCCTTGTCGTCATTAGCTGCTGGAACCACTTCCACTCGTAAGAAATTTGGTGCTTTTAACCTCACCCCGCTTAGGCCTTTAAACTATGAAAAGGGCGAGGGTGCGGGGGATGCGACGGGGCCTGGGGGTAGGGGGTCCTAGCATTGTGGTCACGCCTCACTCCCAGACAGGGGGGGGGGGGGGGGGGCAATTCGCGCGCGGCACAATTAGCGTGCGCGCGCGGCGCGCGAGAGTGCCTTGGTTGCCTTGGCGAGCCCAGTCCCGAGCCCGAGCAGCCCGAACCCGATCCTGAGCGCGTGCGCGTGCGCGCGCGCGTGTTTGTCCGTGCATACGTGCGCGTGTGCGTGTGCGTGTGCGTGTTCGTGCGCCTGTGCGTGCGCCTGTGCGTACGTGCGCGCGCAGGCTCGGGCGCGAGCCCGAGCCCGACCCCGAGCGCGAGCTTCAGACCGAGCCCGAGCCTGAGCGCGTGCGTGTGCGCGTGCGCGCGCGTGTGCGCTTCCGATATGTTAGCATGCGATTCGCCTCCGCATCCTTCCCAAATTCCCCCAACCCTTTCACCCCCACCCTTCCTCTCTCGTCTCTCCTGCTCCTCTTTTGTTCGGCATCCGCATGCGCAGCACCGCGGCGGGGCCGACAGGTCCTGGCCGACGCGCGCGCCAAGTGGAGTTGACACGGCAAGGTAGAGGGCATCGACGGGGCACACCTCAGATCACTCGCCCGCGGAGGACCACGCAGGGCCAGTAGGCGCCAGAAGACTTTCGTCCTCCCCCCCCGAGGCGACGTTCGTCCTTCCCCAGTAGGCTTAAGTCGGGCATGTCCCCCTACAGGGGGGATATTCGACGAAAAGCTTCAAAGTTTCAAAAAAATGGGGCCTATGTGTTGAGTATTGTTGTTGCCTGTTTGGGGTATGTTTGGGGTACTTTTCATGTTTCGTCGAAAATCCCCCTGTAGGGGGACAGGCCCGACGTAACAGTGGGCACACCCTCACGCCGCTCGAGGCGACGGTCGGCGAGCGCGCGCGCCCCGCAGGCCAGGGAGGACGGCGCCGCGGCCGAGCAGGGCGGCGCGGCCGAGCAGGGCGGCGCGCCCGCCGACGAGGGCGGCGCGGCCGAGGAGGAGGGCGCAGCGGCTGAGCCCGCCGCGGTGGAGGCGGGCGTGGGAGGAGGGAGGGGGGCATGGGGCGGGGGCCTATGGGCAGTGAGGGAGTACGCTTATGTCGGGCGTGTCCCTCTACAGTGAGATTTTCGACGAGAAATAAAGAATACCCCAAAAATACACCAAAAAGGTCTTAAAATGCTCAAAAATAGTCCCCATATTATGTTTGGATTATGTTTGGACTATGTTTGGGGGCATGCTTTATTTCTCGTCGAAAATCCCCATGTAGGGGGACAGGCCCGACTTGAGAGTACGCAGGTGAGCGCAGATCGTATGCGAAGACACCGTGGAGCAGTTTCATGCAGCCCGTGGGGGAGCACGTCGCTCCGGGCCCTGGCGTCGACGTCCATCGGCGGCGAGCGAGGGGGGAAGTGAGACGGAGAAGGCCTTCTCGGAGGGCGGCGAGGCTTCCCGGAAGCCCTCGCGCCTTCTGAGAAGTCGTTTCTGTCCTCGGGGAAGGCTTCGAAAACTGCTCTGAAGGCCAGGAGACGTCCGAGCCTTCTGAGAGGGCTTCCTGAGTCTCACTTCCCCCCCCCTCGCTCGCCGCCGAGTCCAATGACCCAGACTGTGCGCCGACTTGGTTTTGCTAAGCTCTAGGGTAAGCATCCACGGTGTCGATCTTGATTGGCCTGTGATAGCGATCGTCGGAGACCCCGTTCTGCAATCGATTACCCGGTCAACCCGCTCGCTGCGTCGTTCTCGCGGAGCGCCCTCGGCGACGGCAGTCAGGTAGTGTGCATTTCGGCGCGCGAGGACGGAAGAGGCCACAGTGGGCCGCATTGGGACTTGGGTGGTACCCCGAGGGCCGCCTTCAGGAGGTACACGGCCGCCTCGGCAAGCCAGCGCTTCAGAGTCAAGAGTAAGTAGTGAGTCACAGAGAGGAAGCCAGGTTGCGGCCTCAACGGGTTGTGCGGCCACCTCGGCTACCGTGAAAGTATGAGAAAAACAGTGTGTCTGACTTGCGTTTTAGCCAAAATGGCCGGCAGAGTCACGCCAAGGGCCAGTCCGCATGCTGGCTTTGTTTCGCATTGCATTGGGATTGATCCCCGCTCCCAAAGTCATGGAGGCGTGGGTTCGCACCGAATTCCTTTGAGAGCTGGACGCTTAGTTATGCTACACGACCGTTGGCTCATATACTCAGCTGCGAAGTGTTGTCTAACTGTTGTGCAATCGTAACTGCCAACAGTTACGCCCCATGCGGCAAGGTTACATGCACAGGTTTGACTCAAGGCTGGCTCCTGCCAGACGTCTGCCTAAACCTAGAAAGGGTCCACGTTGGCGATCTGCAGATGCGTGATCCACGCGAGCTGTGGGGACCTCCATCCGTAGCTGCATCTATTGTGCTTTCCTTGGCAGAATGTCTGGCCCGTGACTCGTCAAGTCACCGAGCGAGCGTCGCCGCATCTACCCACACGCACACGCTCCCCATCGGGAGCCGCGGCTGGACGCTGCGATCGTCCGCACCTCGCGTTGGCGTGCTCTACTCAGGTTCCTGGGCGCGGCGTGGTGCCTCCGCGGGTGCAGGTGCAGGCCACCTCGCTGTCGCTGGGGCGCGTCTGCCAGTCCAGGGTGTATCGGTGCCGTTGCATGGACCCAGCCAGATGCCCCTGCTTCTGCGTGGCACCTGCGCGCCAGCCCCGCACCGCATGCAGAAGACCACAGCGTTCTCGTCGCCGCAGGGCCCTCCTGCTATGGTATAGCTCCCCCGCCTCCACGGCACTGCGTGGGCGGAGTGGCCCTCTGCGCCGTCGCCCAAGTTTCGCCTCGGACCTCCTTGGCCGATGTTGCCAGGCGATTGCGGGGTCGCAGAATCGCCGCCAGCGTCACACTGGTCTCCGTTGCACGCAGCCTCGTCGTCCCCTGCGCTAGCGCTCAAGCCCACGGAGTTGCTGACTTACGATTCTTGCAGGTACGCATGGAGGTCTCCAAGCCAACTCGACATCTCTCTCGCCCGGCGTTGGCACGCCGCGGCGGAGAGGCGCGATTCGGCGGAGGAGGAGGGAGAGAAAGACGAGGCGGAGGATGAGCGACCATCTGATCAGAGATCGTGCATTGTAGAAAGGCGGAGGAGGAGAAGGAGGAG